TCCTCCTCCTCCTCCTCCTCCTCCTCCTCCTCCTCCTCGTTGGCCTCCTCCTCCTCCTCCGTCTCCTCCTCCTCCACCACCACCTCCTCCTCCTCCTCCTCCTCCTCCTCCTCCTCCTCCTCCTCCTCCTCCTCCTCCTCCTCCTCCTCCTCCTCCTCCTCCTCCTCATGCGTGAGCGGCCGCGCCACTCAAAAATTGTCGATGATGCCTCCAACTTCCTCAATGCCCCCTTCTCGTCCGATCTGACGCTCGGCTGCACCCGGGGTGCCTCGGGCGAAAGCGGCCCTGGCTGTCTCCGCGCGCCAGGGAGGGGGGTCCAGCGCCGATCCGAGAAATCCGCGCGGACCTCCGAGCTTTTATGTTCACGTCAGTGTTTGTTCCCCGAGGGGGTGCGCTTCCTGCCTCCATCCTCCTCGATGCCCCCCTCGTCCGACCCGACTACAGAATTGATGTACCCCGACATTGATTGCATTTCCCCGTCGCATCTATAAGACATGCGTAGAAGCTTCCGCACATCCACCGAACACTCTACGCAGATTGCGCAGACTCCACGGCAGAAATCGGCTTGGGGGTGGATCCATCCTGCAGTCGATCCCGTGCTCGGAACCTCCTCGAAGCTCCGCTGCACCCGGGAGGGAGGGAGGGGGGGCCACGAGCAAGCGCGGTCCTGCGGCGCGGGACGCTCCTGGCCGGGTCCGAGAAGGGGGGTGTGGGGCGCGGCGCGGCGGAGCGGAGCGGGGGGGCCAGGAGGGGTCCAGGAGGGGTCCAGGAGGGGGAGGGGGAGGAGGAGGAGGAGGAGGAGGAGGAGGAGGAGGAGGAGGAGGAGGAGGAGGAGGAGGAGGAGGAGGAGGAGGAGGAGGAAGAGGAGGAGGAGGAGGAGGAGGTGGAGGAGCTGAAAGAGGAGGAGGAGGAGGAGGAGGAGGAGGAGGAGAAAGAAGAGGAGGAGGAAGAGGAGGAGGAGGAAGAGGAGCACGGGGAGGAGGACAAGCTAGGTGCGTTCGCGTCATATCTGACATCCTAACGCTCCCTCCCATTCCTTACCATGGCGTAGGTCTCATCTCTATTTGCACAGTCGGATGTCGTAGCAGAGCAGAGCATTTCATGGTATAGCATGGTAATGAAGATCAACCCGTATCCTGACATAGCATGGCGTGGCGACGCCCCAAAGTGGGGGGGCTTCTGCGACCCAAAAACCACGAATCGACACTGAATGTGTAATCACTTCCGATGGTTGCTTCGGGGGGGCATTTTCTGGATGTTGGTGCCTATTTGGCGTGACATGGCGCTGGAAACAATATCGCCAGCGCTGCAGCGGGAGCACGATCTGGAACGAGCGAAGCGCGGATATGAGGTCAACGCTGCAGCGGGAGCACGATTCGGAGGACGCGTAGCCTGACATAGCATGGCGTGGCGACGCCCCAAAGTGGGGGGGGGGCTTCTGCGACCCGCACAAAGCACGAATCGGCATCGAATGTGTAATCACTTCCGATGGTTTTCTCGGGGGGGCATGTTCTAGATGTTGGGGCCGATTTGGAAGGACAGAAAACCATGCCGTAGCATGGCGCTGGAAATAATGACGCCAGCGCTGCAGCGGGAGCACGATCTGGAACGAGCGAAGCGCGGAAATGAGGCCAGCGCTGCGGCGGGAGCACGATTCGGAGGACGCGTAGCCTGACATAGCATGGCGTGGCGACGCCCCAAAGTGGAGGGGGGGCTTCTGCAACCCCAAAAATCAACGAATTGACTCCGAATGTTTAATCACTTGGGCATTTTCTAGATGTTGGGGCCTATTTGGAAGGACCAAAACCATGCCGTGGCATGTCGCTGGAAATGATGAGGCCAGCGCTGCAGCGGGAGCACGATACGAGCGGAAGCACGGAAATGAGGCCAGCGCTGCAGCGGGAGCACGATTCGAAACGAGCGGTAGCCCGAAAATGAGGCCAGCGCTTCAGCGAGAGCAGCATTTTGAAAGGAAAAAAACAAAAACGAAAACCCAACTCACGGGGATCCTGTGTAAAGAACCAGTACGCGTAGGTGGGCCGCATATTTCCTGGACGTCACCAGGGGACAGAGAGTAGTATTCATATTGTGTAATTGTGGAGGGGGAGGAGGAGGAGGAGGAGGAGGAGGAGGAGAAGGAGGAGGAGGAGGAGGAGACTTTCATGCCACCAGGTGCCAGGTGCCAGGAGGAGGAGAAAGAGGAGTAACTCGAAGAGGAGGAGAAGGGAGGAGGACTGGAGGAACAGATCGTCAGGAGGAAGGAGGAGGAACAGGAGGACGGGGAAGGAGGAGGAGGGGGGGGCCTCCCGAATGGGTGTCCGAGCACATGGGGTCGGAGCCAGGGCTCGAGCTAAACGGTGAGTTCCGCTGTCGTTTTGTGCTCGTTCTCCGTCGTTCTGTCTTCGTTCCGCCTCTGCTGCAAAACAAGATCACAACGAAAACGGTCCACGAACTCGCCCAAACACCGTTTAACTCGAGCCCTCGTCGGAACATCGCGCTGTATCGCCGACGCATCACCAACGTCGCCGTGTCCGGGCCCTCTACGGCACTCCACGGGCCCCGGGACCGTCAAATGACCCCTCGGTGTGAAGAGCCGGTTCTGGTGGAAGCCCCGAGGTCCAGGACTCGGTTCCCTCGGGAACCCGTTCCTTCATGGCGGAGGAGCAGGCGGCCGTTCGGGGCGACGTATGTGTTCCTCGACTCGCGCTGGATCATTCAAGGTTTCTCCAGATTGGCCTGGATGTCTGTGAATGCATGTCGATGTATCTAAAGTGACGTACAAGTACATCGATGTGCCTCGCTGAGTCTGGCTTCATCCCAGCAGAACGACTGGAGAAGAGTCGTCAAGCCCGTAGGGAAACAGTAGAGCGAAAACTAAAGCAACGAACACCACTGCGAACAAGCGTGCGGGCGTGGCCTCTGGATTACATTGCCCGTGGAGGGGGGAAAGGAAGAGAGAGAGAGAGAGAGAGAGAGCGAAGGGAAGGGGGAGGGGGAGGGAGAGGAATAGGAAGGGTGAGACGGAGGGTGATCGGGAGAAGCACTGAAAGGAGGCTCGGGACAAGCGACGTATAGTACGATCTGATGCCAGCGTGAGCCAAAATGTTCAGGCGTCCCGCGTTCTCTACCTCATCCTCCTCCTGCGAGTGCGCCTTCCCTCTCCTCCTGCATCCTCCTCCTCTTCATCCGCTTTCTCCTCCCCTCCTCTGAAAAGCACCACTGCAGAGATATCCATACATGACCGATCAGCATGCTCGCTGCACGTGGACTTGATTTGGTCCCCTCGGCCCACACACACTCAACAACTGCGGTACCGCCGAAAGGTCCCTGAACTCTTTCTGAATCCGTGCCGTTCTACCAAATTCCAAATTTCCTGATAGTCCTACTTATCCTCCTCCTCATCCTCCTCCTTCTCCTCTTCCTGCTTGGCCCTAGCCAGTGTAGCACCGTCCCAGCTTTCGGTGTGTAGACGCCTCCTACTGATGTGAAAAATGATCATGCGATTACTCCCCCATAGTGACATTGCCATCGCGTCTCTAAACGCTTTATCCAATCATCCATCTTTTGTCTCGAACAGGGGGGTGAGGAGCAGCAGCTATCGAAAAAGCAGAGCGTGACGAATTGTTTCGGTGTTCAGGAGGGGACTCCAAGTCACTTGCCAGGAAATTTGAACTGGCTCCCCCTCGCCCTCCCACCTTCAGCTTCTGCCCTGAATGTCCCGCCTCCCTTGCTTCCCTCCCTCCCTGCCTTCTCTCCCTCCCTGCCGTCCCTCCCTCCCTCCCTCCCCTACCTCCCTCCCTCTCCCTCCCTGCCTGCCACAGTCGCACCCAGGACTCTCCATCAAAACATCACCACAAGGTAGCACAGCGTCGACATCCAGAGCCACACCAGTACGACTGATGTGTTTTCCACCCTTATCATCATCCTCACTCGCCTCTTCCTCCTCCTCCTCCACCTCATGTCCCTAAATACTCAGATTCCTCATGTTCCGAAGTCGCACGAGCACGCATGTAGATCGCAGGTCCCGTCACCGCCACCAAGAGGGAACACTTCGCGTTTGGCTATCAGGGAGCACTTCTTCGACAAGATGCTCGCAGTCGACCCATCTACAAACGTGTCGTGGGCATGAAGAAAACTAAATGGCGTGCCCGACCAATTGGCCACCTCGCCCGTCTGAGGTGGATCCCCCCAGTCTCGGTGAAGGGAGGCGCGACGGATTGGTTGAGAAAACAGACACGAGCAGGCGCGACCTCGTCGGTCGTCAGCGCCTGTGCCGCCAGATTAGCATACCCTCGTTCTTGCCTGACCGCTTTGAAGACGGCGAGAGAATAGCACAGCGACGATGATGGACAGAAGGCTCAAACGGGAGAGAGAAGCAGCCAGCATCGGATAGGGGGAAGCGGATCGGATCGGAATGTGCGCCAGGTCGGAATGCATCGGCACGGAGTTCGAAATCGAGTCGGATCAGCTGCGCGCCGGGATGCACAGCGGCTCCATGCGAGGTCAGGCCGCTTAGGATCGTCGTGACATCGGAATCGCATCGGATCGAGCCTTCCGGAATCCATATCGAGACGAGTCGAGTCGAACAGATCTGGACCCTGAGCAGCAGCAGACGGGGAATTCAGAGAAACGGGGGAGGGGGTCGAGCGAGCACAGGCGCTGGCAGAGGAGCATTGAGGAGCACTCCGAGCCCGGGACGCTCGCAGTGCATCAGACAAGCTCTAACACATGCGGAAAAAAGAAGAGAGAGAGAGAGCAGCAACCAAAAGACAGAGAAAGACAGGAAGGCCTATATATAGATGAACAGAGAGATATAACAACACACACACAACAATCAGTTTAAGACTGCTCGCTCTTAGCTGCTCGCGTGTCACTCAACATGTGTACCCCAAACTCTCGGCATCCACCCTCCTCGTCTTCGACCGTACCCCCCTTGGGGGTATACCTTCCTGATCCGCCATGTGTCGTTGGCGCAGCCCTAAAACACGGGATGGGAGGGAGGAGGGAAGGGACAAGGGGAGGGAGAAGGATGGAGCACGAGAGAGATTAGCAGGAGAAATAGGGAGCAAGAGCACAAGCGGCAGAAGCAGGCGGGCGGGTCGGGCGGGCGGACCCGATCGGGCAGGTCGGCCGAGCAGACCCAAACGGTCGGGTCGAGCGGTCGGGTCGCCGAAATATCCATCCTGCATGGATCTCGAAGAAGTCTCTAGCGACACCACGATTCGCAAGTAAATGTTACTGGAGTCTATAGCGAGATCATGATTCCTGAGTGTCGAGGGCGCGGCGTCTCAATAAATTGCGAGTCCCACGCGAGACCGCGATTCCTGGGTAATGTACAAGGACGACCTTAGCGGGAGCGCGATTCCTCAATACATTGTGAGTAAATATCAGACGGGGGTGGTCGTTGCTGTTGCTGTTGTTGTAAGACGGGGGCCGGCAACCAAATCTGAGCCTCAAGACCTTCCCTTGTAAAAAACAGGGTGCGAGCCTGTGGAGGAGAACTGTAATTGGAAGGATACCAGGGGCACAGAAGAGGTGAAATGAGAACTCAAGTGCGAAGAAGTCTCGAGCGAGAGCGCCGCTCCTGAGTTCGGGGGCCTCTCTGGCCAAGAGCTCTCGGAATACCTGAAGAAATATCGAACGGGAGCCCTTGTCGCCGTGTCCGGGCCTCCACCTACTTGCCGGGATTACAGAAAAGTCTCGAGCGTGAGCACCGTTCCTGAGTTCGGGGGCCTTTTTGGCCAGGGGCTCTCGGAGTAAATCGAAAGGAATCACCGAGCGGAAGGCCTTGTCGTCGTGACTGGGCCTCCGCCAACTTAATTGATTTGCGAGGAATTTTCAAGCGAGAGCGCCGTTCCTGAGTTCAGAGCCTCTCTGGCCACGGTGTCTCAAGGTAAATTGTGAGGAAGTATCGAGCGGGAGCCGTTATTGACGTAGCTGGGCCTCCAAGGGCCACATTTAGGCTCAAGCCCACGCTCGAGCGGGAGCCTCGTTCCCAGAGAACATGTAGCTGACGTCGAGGCGAGAGCGCGCGGAACCGTTTCCAGAGATCAACAATACTTATTCTTGCGGAAATGAAAATTCACTAGTTAAGACTGTTCGCTCAGAGCTGCTCGCGTGCCATTCAACATGTGTACCCTCTAAGGGGTATATCTTCTGAACCGCCACGTCTAGTTAGCGCAGCCTTAAAACATGGGAGGGGATGGAAGAAGGAAGGAACCAGGGGGAGGGAGAAGGATGCGAGAGAAATGTGCACGAGCGGGGGCAGGAACAGGAGCACAAGCGGCAGAACCAGACGGGCGGGTCGGGCAGGCGGACCCGAACGGGCAGGTCGGGCGGGGTGGGCCTGACGGCCGGGTCGAGCGGGCGGGTCGCTGAAGCGCCAACCCAATATGAATCGCAAGGCAACTTCGAACGATAGCGCGATTCCCAAGTAAATCGTGCGGAGATCCACAGCGAGAGCGTGATTCCTGAAAGTTGGGGCCACGGCGACGCAATACATATCGAGGACGTACCACGCGAGAGCGCGATTTCTGCATAGCGAGAACGCAATTTGGGAATACATTGCGGAGATATATCAGGCAGGAGCCGTTGTTAAACTCTCTTTTAACTGTTGAAGAATGTTTACTGTTGACCCCCATACCGGCTCACATTTGTGTTGTTCATTTGAAATGCACCCTTGGGGCTTCCACCTGCTTTCATCAAAGGAAACATGCCCGGTCAAACTACGTTGTTGTCTCCCCGGCTACAGCAAAAACGGTTCTCGCCTGATACTCCCTAATGATTCGGAAAACCGCTTTCCCACGCGGGACTTCCCCACCATGTATGCAAGAATCGCGCCCTCGCGTGGGTCTGCCTCGCAATTTTATGCAAACGCCGTGCCCCCAACAGGCAGAAATCACGTTTTCGTTTTGGCCTCTCTCGCGGTTTACTTGGGAAACGCGCTATCGCTCCAGACGACCTCGCGATTCATGCAGGACTCACACTTCAGCAACCCGCCTGCTCGACCTGGCCGCCTGGGCCCGTCTTCCCACACCGCCCGCCGGGGTCTGCCCAACCAACCCGCCCGGCTGGTTCCGCCACGTGTTTTCTGTTCTTGGCCCCCCTCCTGCTAATTTCGATCGTGTTCCATCGTTTTTCCTCCATGTTGCATCCGCCCTCTTTTCCCCTGTTTTAAGGGATGCGCTGAACTCACGTGGCTGATAAGGAAAATATACCCCTAAGCGGGCGCGGTCGAGGACGAAGGGGGCGGATACCGAGGGTTTAGGATAAACGTGGTGAAAGGCACGCGAGCAGGCACGGGCGAACAGTATTAAAACTATTGTTGCTGTTGCTGTCAAAGTTCGGAGCCTCACAATGAAGCTGGAGGACCAAGACTTGCCCTGATTAAAACAAGGTTCGTTGCCGGGCCAGAGCACTTTAATTGAAAAACGCAGAATGTGCATCGGGCAGGGGTATCGTCCAGAATCGTCCTTTCGAAAAGAATAATCAACAACCACAACAAAAAACGACAACAACAAGGCAAAACAAACTGCTGGTGTACCCAGACCGGGTCCTCCAGTGCGCCCTTTCGCTCCACGTGGTGAAACATATCACTGGTGTACCTGGACCTCCCCCCCGCGTAACGCAACGCAACGCAACACGGTTGCCGGTGCAGCCTTCGTTGTGTTGCGTTGCCTTGCGGGGGGGGGGCTGTGCTGGATACTTCTGTCTGGAACCCTTCGGAATCCCTCGGGGGTCCAAAGGAATCCCTAGGGGATCCGGGGGAATCCTCCGGAAACCCAAATGAATCCTTTGGAATCCCTAGGGAATCCCTGGGGAATCCGGGGAAATTCCTGGGGAATCCTTCGCAATCCCTACGGAATCCCTGAGGAACTGCGAAGAATCCCGAAGGAATCCTTCGGGATTCCGTAGCATTCCCTGAGGAATCCTGAGCACTCTCTACGGAATTCTCCGAAATCCCACAGGAATCCCGGGAAGGAATCTTCAGGAATCCCGAAGGAATCCTTCAGAATCCTTGGGGAATCCGTCGGACTCCCTAGGGAATCGTTCTGAAGCTTAGGGAACCCTTAGGATTCCCAAGGACATCCTTAGGATTCCATTCGGATCCTAAACATCCGTCGGATGTCCCGACAAATCCATAAGAAATCGTTCGTAGTAGTAGTTGTAGTGAAAGTAGCAGGAATATTTAGAATGAGTTTTAGTCGTAGTGCGAATACTAAAACTAATAATCGATGTAGTATTAGTAGTACTACTACTATTACTACTACTACTACTACTACTACTACTACTACTACTACTACTACTACTACTACTACTGCTACTGCTACTACTACTACTACTACTACTACTACTACTACTATTACTACTACTACTACTACTACTACTACTACTACTACTCCTACTACTACTAGTACTAGTACTAGTAGTCGTAAATGAAGTAGTAATAGAACTAGTAGTGGTACTACTGGTGGTAGCAGTACTAGTAGTAGTAGTAGTACTAGTAGTAGTAGTAGTAGTAGTAGTAGTCGTAGTAGTAGTAGTAGTAGTAGTAGTAATAGTAGTAGTAGTAGTAGTGGTAGTTGCAGCAGACGTAGTAGGAGCAGTAGTAGTAGTAGTAGTAGTACTGGCAGTAGTATAGTAGCAATCGCAAACATAAAAGGAAGAATAGACGTAGTAGCAGTAGTGGTAGTAATTGTAGTAATACGAATACGTAGCACGTAAGACATATTACGCAAGACGTAGTACGATATACGTAGTACGGAATACGTATTACGTATTACGTAATACGTACTACAAACTAATATGCAGTAGCATTTCGTTGTGCGTAGTAATACGTAGTAGTGGTTGTTGCCGATGTAGTAGTAGCAGCTGCAATACTAATAGTACGCAGTAGTAGTAGTAGTAGTAGTAGTAGTAGTAGTAGTAGTAGTAGTAGTAATAGTAGTAGTAGTAGTAGTAGTAGTAGTAGTGCTAGCAATACTAGTAGTAGCAGTAGTAGTAGTGGTAGTAGTACTGGTAGCAGTAGTTGTAGTAGCAGTAGTGGTGCTACTGGTAGCCGTAGTAGTAGTAGTAGTAGTAGTAGTAGTAGTAGTAGCAGTAGTAGTAGTAATCGTAGCAGTAGTAGTAGTAGTAGCAGCAGCAGAGCACTAAAAGCAATAAAATTCACAGTAGATGTAGTAGTCGTAGTAGGCATAATAGTAGTAGAAATGAAAGAAGTAGTAGTAGTAGAAGTAGTAGTAGTAGTAGTAGTAGTAGTAGTAGTGGTCGAAGTAGTAGTAGTAGTAGTAGTAGTACTACTACTACTACTACTACTACTACTACTACTACTACTACTACTACTACTACTACTAGTACTACTACTACTAGTAGGAGTAGTAGGAGCAGTAGCAGCACTAGTGATAGTCAAAGTAGTAATACGATCAATAGAAGTAGCAGTAGTAGTCGTAGTAGAGGTGATTATACTAATAGTAGTAGACATAGTAGTAGTACGAGTAATAGTGATAAAAGATGATTATTGTAGTTGTTGCTTTTGTATTAGAATAGCAGTCCTCACATTCCTCATCCCCCCTGCCCAAGACGGCCTCAGCACCATCAAGAGAACCGCAACGTCGTTTTCGTCGTCGTCGTCGTGGTCTTCGTCGTCATATCCTCGCCGGGGGCGCAGACAGGGAGACAAAGAGGGCGGTGACGACGACGATAGGGACGCACAGAAACACTACAACGGCGCGTCCTCCCCCTCCTGCTCCTCCTCTTCCTCCTGCTGCTCCCCCTCCCTTTCCTGCTACACCCCTCCTCCCCTGCGTCCGTTGCGTTGATTTGCGTTGAGCTGCGTTGCGCCTGGGAAAGGGGGAGGGTCCGTTGCGTTGCGTTGCGTTGCGCCGGGGGGGGGGCGCCAGCAAATGGTTTCGTCAACAACAGCAACAAGCAGTTTACCCGAATGCTCCATGATTCTGTACGCAGCATGCATCCATCATGATGGCTCCCCCGTTCAGGGGAATCTTTTCTTGCACAGGGGTCCGATAATTCCCTTGCCCAGATCTTCCGCCCGAGGGGGTCTTGACAACCCCTCTTTCGAGGCACGTCAACATCTCTTGCCCAAATGGCACATCTCCTTCGCAATCGCCCTGCCAACGCTTTGCTTCTAGGTATCGCCACGCAGAAATGGCCCAAGGCCTCTGCGAGAGGCCCCGCAACCTCTGGGAGAGCCCCCAGAGCCCCTTGGACAGCCTCTGGAGCCTTTTGGACAGCCTATGGGGGTGCCTGAGAGACGCTTTCAAACTGAACTGGAAGAGCTCGGAGCATCTCAAAAGAAGCGCCAGGGCATGTTTGGGAAAGGCTTGGATCGGAGGAGTTTCAGACGAAGGGCGAGGAGGAGGAAGAGGAGGAGAGGAAGCAGGAGGAGGAAGAACGAGGAGGGAAGACGAGGGGGGGGAAGCAGGAGGAGGAGGAGGAGGGCGACGACGACGACGACGACGGGTTTCTCGGGCCGCACATGGCACGCGCCGCAGAGGCACTGGCGCAAATCTCCGACAGTGCATGCTGCATGCTCGACGATCGGCGAAGTGTCGAATGGGAGCGTCGGTGTTTGCAGGGGGGGTCGCCCGTCCCGCGCAAAAAACGAGGAAGAATCGAGCGGGAGCGCCGACGTTGTGGGAAAGCCGGCTTTTGGCGGCGAGCCTGAGCCTCGGCCCCGAGTAGAGAAGGAGGAAGTATCGAGCTGGAGCGTTGTTGTTGTTGTGGTTGTTGTTGGTGCTGGTGTTGTTGCTCTTGTTGTTGGTGTTGTAGTTGCTGCTGCTGTTGTTGTTGATATTGTTGATGTTGTTGTTGGTGGTGGTGTTGTTGTTGGTGTTGTTGTTGCTGTTGGGGGGGGGGGGGCTGTTTTCGGCGCAACCCCGAAACGCATGAGCGCGAGCGTAACAGTCAAAAGAAATGCAGCCGTCGCCGAGGCGAGGGCGCCAGTGCGGATGTAGGATGTCCCGGTAAAGTAATCGAATTATCAGAAACATACAACATGGACTAAGGAAGCGTCAGGGCCTCTGGGAGTCTTGAACAAAATCGGAGGAAGTATCGAGCGGGAGCGTCGTTGGTTGCGGGGGGGTCGCTTGCAGCGCCGAGGCGGAAGCGCCGATCCTGGGTGAAAGACCCAGAAATATCGAGCGGGAGCGCTGGCTCTATGAAAAAGCCAGCTCTCGGCGCCGAGCAAGAGCCCCGGCCCCGAGCAGAAGAGGAGGGAGTATCGAGCGGGAGCGTTGACGGTGTTGTCAGAGTGCCGCCTTCGGCGCACCCCCGGAATGCCTGAGCGTGAGCCTCGATTTCAAAGGACATGCAGCCGCAGCCGGTGGCGAGGCGAGAGCGCCGGAGCGAATTCAAGGGGTCCAACAATAATCGCTGCTACATACTTGACATTCAAGAATAATCACTCGACCCTCACGCACCATGCTTCTACATGCCACATGCATCCATCATGGTGCCACCCCCTTGTGGGAGAAATATATGACAAGGGGGCCGATACTCCCACACCCAGATCTCCCGCCAAAGAAGTTCGAGCCAACACCTCTTCCGAGTCAGTTTTCCATGTTCAGCTCGCACGACACATAAAAAAAAGTGCGGCGTTGGGAAGCGGTGAGGAGTCGAAGCACGAAAGGATCGAGCCCCAGGAGGGGAGCACTGTATAGGAACATCGCGTGTCAACCAACGTCTCTCTTCGTCCTTGTCTCTGATCGTACACCCTTTTGGGGGATACCTTCCTTCCCTGCCACGCGTGAGCGAGAACGCGATTCCAGAGCGCCGAGAAAGCGATCCGTGAATACATTGTGAGGAAATCTCAGGCGAGAGCGCGCTTCCTGGAAGAATTGCCAGAAGGTCTCGAGCGGGAGCGCGTTTCGTCAACAAATTGTCAGGAAGTAGGAGGCGGAGCCCGTTCGTCTTGTAGCTAGGGGGCAAGGGTCCAAATCTCTGGCTCAAGACTTTCCCTTATGGACAGCAGTGTGCAAGCCCAGGAGGGGCACTTCAATTGAAAACACTTTTGTTACCGGAAGCGGGATCAACAGCAATTGGAAATGAACTCAAGGACAACACCAGCTAACAAAATAAAAAGACAAGAAAGAGAGAGCGGGAGAGAGAGGGAGACAAAGATAGAGACAGAGACAGAGACAGAGACAAAACCAGAGACAGAGACAGAGAACGAGAGGACAAATATGAGAGCAGAAAGAGAGCGAGAGAGAGACACCAGGACAAAAGCGCTAAGATGTTCGGAAACTCGATTCCACGAGTTACATCATGATGGATGGGAATCCAAACGCCTTCACATCTCCGAGCGTGATAAGTGTGCGCGCCAATCCCCATTGTTACCTGACCCGCGTGTTGTTTCCTGTTGAGCCCCACAAGACTCAACCCCAGAAAGATGCATGCCTGCATCCCCGTCTCAGCTTTTCTGTGAGACTCATGAGGAAGAGTGTGCGAGACCTGTCTGGGGCGAATTGTTCAAGGTCTCATCAATACCCGGCAAGCGAACCCAGACTCCCCCGCGAGGGCCCTGACAGCCCAAGACAGGCCACGACCAGCAAAGCACTGGCCCAAGACAGACCTACCACCGACTGGATCGCAGCTGGCAAAGAACCTCCCCTCCCAGGGACCCCGCAACGTGGCTCCGTGCCCCCTTCCGAGTGCCCGAAAGTCCACCCAAGACGGCCCTGGGAAAATCAAAACGCCCCTCCGAAGATCCCAAGGAGTCACCCAGGAGACCGAAGACGGTGCAGCCTGCCTCTCAAGGCCCCGACGGCACCCCCCGAGAGGGCAGCGCAACGGCAGCACCGCGCAACAGGGCTGCCGCGCAGCTTCCCCCGCCCCCCCCCCCCCGCGCAGTGAGCAAGTTGCGCGGCTGCGACACTGGTCTAGACAGTCGACAACATGATTCGGCGGTGGGAAGGAAAATCAAAGCGGAACAAACAAACACGCCTCAGACCACAACCGTCAGCTGGCCGCTGCCAGCAACGGTCAAGAAGCGATACACGACCTGCATCAAGCCCAGTGGAGCAGCCATGAGCTGATGTCTGATGGGATTCCGCCAGAGTCCTGGTAGTCTAAGAGGCGACCCAAGCGCCCGCCCAATCCTTTCTCTCAAATCAGACAGGCACGAATTTCCGCTGCAGACATTCTCTTTTCAACGCATGCCGAATGCGGCTACCACTCAAGGCTTAATTAAAACTGGAAAAACGCACGTTCCCCTCGAAGGCGTCCTCACAATGTCCTCAACAATTCAGTCCCCGCTCCAAGATTCACACATCAAATTCCTTACGAAAGCATGTGACACCCGCTGATCTATACATATTTCCTCGCATGATACGTGCGAGCATCCACTTTGTATGTGATTTGACGTGATGAGGCAATGACGGGAATCGGCAACAACGTAGCCTAGAGGATCTAAAGGCTTCCACGCAGTGAAACAACTTCATTAACATTATGAGGAAGACGTGGACAAGAAGTAGAAAAAAAGAGGAGCAAGAGGAGGAGCAAGAGGAGGAGGAGCATCGGCACGACGAGGTTGCCGACGCTTTCGCTTCAAGCCATGACACCAGTGTGGGGGAGACTGCCAAGCGCACATATTAGACAACGAGTCGTTCCCACATCGCCACCCGAGTCCTCGCGTCACGCGTGCGTACGAGTTGGTAACCAGTCTCGACATGCCTTCGGATCTGTCTGGAACGCTCAGGGCCCAGCAGATGGAGCAGGAGGCTGAGGACGAGGACGCGGACGAGGCCGAGAGAGCACGTGAAGGTGCAGCACAAGGAAGCTGGTCATCATCATCGGCGCTGCATGGCGGCAGCTCAGGCGCCGAGGGGAGGCGGGGCTGCAATCTATCTACGGCAATCTAGAGCCACTGCCGACCCTTCTCGCTTGGTGCCCGTCGGCCTGGCAAGCAATCCAGCTAAGAAATGATCTAGGAATTGTTTTGTGAATAGTTTACTGTTGAGGGGCACAAGGTGAATCCACTCATAGGCAGCGTCTGCGTCAGCCCGTCACTGCAAATGGGCGCGAAGGTCCCGACAGGTCTGGGATTGACAGCCACACGATCCATCACCTGGAGGCTGCCGCTGCTATGGCTTCCAAGCTACATGAGGACTGGCAGGGATCGACCCAATAAATACGTCACATACCAGTCCAACACGCGTTAACTCAAGACGAACCGTTGCCATCAATCTTCTGGCGAACAAATCAAGCCCGAGCACGTGCCTGCAAACGGTGTGTTACACTCGGGAAGAGCCCTAGGGATACGCCAATACTAAAATGATAGCACACGATCTGACGGGGACACCGTCAAGCACTGTGGAACACCTTATGGGCGCAACGGAAACACGATTGGAGAACGTGTCGCAGGGGCTCCGCCCACGCTCTTGTCCACTACCCTTACGAAGGGTCCAACCTAGTGCATCTGCGCAGCTCACGGTGTGAGCCTCTCCTCATATACGACGCACCGCGGAGCAATACAGAGGTTGCTGCGGAGCAAGCACGCAAACGCGCGCTCAACTCTCTGAAGGGAACGATCTGCGTGAGGGATATGCCGAATTGGGCAGGGGTCACCACGCCAACGCAACCCCTGAGGCCGTAGGTGCAACTCCCTGTAGGCCACGATCCGAATAAAGAATGCGCCGACATTTGCGCAAGTCCGCATACGACCGCCCTCACTGGTGCCGTAGGTGGAGCTCCCTGTGGGGTATGATCCGAGTAAGAAATGTGCCGACAAGGGCGCGCCGCGGCATGTGAACTGGCCCACCGAGGCATCAGTTGGAGACCCCTTCCGGGCACGACCCACGTGAAGCGTGTCGAAACGGGCACGGCACGGCATGCGAACTGGCCCAATGGGGTCACTGGAGCTCCCTAGAGGGGCGTGATCCGGGCGAGGGACATGTCGCAGTGGAATCGCAGTGGCAGGTGAACTCGCCCACTGGGGCCGTAGCTGGAGCTCCCCACGTGAGGGCGTGATCCACGTGAGGGGCGTGTCGCAGTGGAATCAATCAAGGCATGTGAGTTGGCCCACCCGGGCCATCGCTGGAAACTCCCTGTGGGGGCACGACGCGCGCGAGGGGTGTGCAGGAGCGGGCGCGTCGTGGCAGGCGGTCCTGCCCACGGAGGGCCCGCGTGCGCAGGGGGCACGGCCCACGCGCCCGGGGCGCGCCGAGGTGGGCGCGCAGGCCGCGCGCGACGCGGCCCACGGAAGGCACAAAGCGTGAGCGGGGCTGGTCTCGGGAGGTCCTCTTCGGCGGAGGGCAGTGGAGGAGAACTGGAGCCAGAACGGGAGCGGGACGCAGACCGAGGAGGAAGAAGCCGCTGGAAACCGGACCTGGCAGCAAGCCTGGGAGACCGCCCCGAAGCACAGAAGAGAAGAAAACAGAGCCGAAAACGGAACCTGACATGGACGGTCTTCGTAGAGGCCAGAAAAGCCGAACGTAAGCCAGAACCACAACTGTGACCTGAAAACTTCTTCCAGGCTTGAAGAGCAAAGAAACCACAACCTAAACCAGAGCCAGAATCATGACCGTGGAAGTCTTCTGCGAGATTAGAAGGAAACTGGAGGAGGAACCAGAACGGAAACCTAAACCGTGCCCTGGGAATTTCACTCCCCATCCCTTGGGCGCCCTACCTTACTAAACCTGAAGGTTCCTATGAAAACCAGATGTGCTCAGCGAGGCTACGACAAACTGAAACACGACAGGCTCGACACGACGACGACGACGACGACGACGACGACGACGACGGCGACGCCGACAACCTAGGCGGCGGCGACGACGAACACGACGGGGGAGGGAGGAGGAGGAGGAGGAAGGAGGAGAAGAAGAAGAAGGAGAAGAAGAAGAAGAAGGCAAAGCAAGGCAAGGCAAGGCGCGCCTATGTCCGCTGGGGGGCGGGGCCAGGAGGAGGAGGAGGAGGAGGAAGAAGAAGAAGAAGAGAAAGAAGGAGAAGAAGAGAAAGAAAGAGAAGAAGAAGAAGAACAACAAGAAGGAGAAGAAGAAGAAGAAGGCAAGGCAAGGCAAGTCGCGCCAAAGTCCGCCGGGGGGCGGGGCCTGGAGGGCCGGCGCGGGCGGGCCAGGGCCCTGAGTCGCCGATGTGGACCTTGTGGTCACTCCCGTGTGCTGCGTAGGAGCGTTTGTTCCAAATTGCTCCATTGGGTGCTGCCTTAGGGGAACGAACAATGACATAAACATAAAAACCCGGAGGTCGGCGCGGATTTCTCGGATCGGCGCTGGACCCCCCTGGCGGCGCCTCCGGCGCCGCCCCTGGCGCGCTCCGCGCGCCAGGGAGGGGGGGTCCAGCGCGGATACGAGAAATCCGCGCGGACCTCTGAGATGTTATGTGTATGTCATTGTTCGTTCCCCTATGTCTTGTGCTGGCGTAACCCATCGACCGCTGCCACGTCGGACACAAAACTGCTTGGTGTCAGATATGGAAGGACGGCATCGTCTTCCCACCGTTTCCTCTGACCCCCGTGTCTGCGGACTGCTTGCTAGTGGTCGTGGGTGTCCAGCTCCCACGTGGCAGCACATCGGGCCCATCTTTTGCACTGTTGATTTGCGACTCGCCGTGCCCACCGCCAGATTCGTCGAAACTACACCGTCGTCCCCTCGTCAACACATGCCCTTTTTGCAAGTTTTGCTGCTGTGCGCGTAGCTCTGCGGATAAAATCTTCCCATAGTTCGAGGTCGGAGTCGTCGTCCACCATCGGTTTGCAATTCGTCGTCGCCATTGTCGTCTAAGCTAGTCTTTGCTTCGCTTCCATACTCTACGTGCGTTCCTGCGTCGGTGTTGCTGGTGTTGTCGATTGTGGTGCCATTTTTAATTGCTCGACGTCGTGGAGTTTTACGATGAGTCGCAGCATTCGTCGTTGAATGCGTGTGAGCATTTGAAGCATGTCCTTAGTCATCGTCCAGGGTACGCAACCGTACATGACAGTAGGCGCCGATGTTTCCTAGGAATTCTGATTGTAATTGGCATCGATTGTTGGTGAGCTCGTCAAGGAATTGGATGAACCTGCGCCATCCTGTCGCGATTCGGCTGGTGAGCTCTGCTTGGTGGTAGCCGTTATCCCTGTGTGGTGGTAGCCGTTCAAAAGAGTAAAATGCGCCCAACAAAAATCAATAGTTGTTTGGTCATAGCTCGAGGAGCAGACAGATCTAAGACCTTCGAACACGTGAAGAACGAGAGCTACTGATGCGACTGATCGCACACGTCAAACCTCCGCAGCTGCTCTAAATGTCGAGATGAAGCGGACAAACGATGGTCGCAGAGTGCGGATAGTTTGTCGGCCATAGCTCGAGTAGCAGACCGACCTCAGGCTTCTCGAGCCTCCAGACCAATGCTCGGGATGCTGCTGAATTTATTGGTACACATGAAACCTCTGTACCTGCCTAAGTCTCTAGACTCAGACCATCAACCAAACGGACGTACAAAATATAATGTTATGGCGAGTACCCGACCTACTAGATTTTGCCCTTCACAATGCCCAGTCCGACCTGAGTTCAAGATGGCGGGTGGAATAAGATCGAAGTTGTCCGGAAATAACACCCCACCCAGGATGCATTGTCAAACATCTTCCAACAATTTCTTCAACTCGAAAATATTATAAATTTGTCTGTCGATTTTTTTTCTGGTCAACTATCCCAGAAGTGACCCTGCATTACTCTTAGCTCCTGCAAATTTCGCTACCAGGGAAACTCCACGAGTCACGCTGCTGAATTTACGTTTACTCATGAAACCTCTTTACCTGCTTGTGTAGTCTAAAACCGGATACGGCGCGCCCGAAGGGCTTCTGTAGTCCACTGCAGTCCACTTGTGTAATCCAGGACCCGGCTAGAAGGGCACTTAGAGAGAACGGAAAGACGAGACGAAGCAACGGCGAGAAGGCCGGAAAGTATACCTGGGGAGCAAGCGAGCCAGGAAACCACTTGTGAGAGACACTTGCCAGGCTGCTGGAAGGCATGCCTGGGGAGCTTGTATGCCCCAGAAGGAAGCTTCCACAGAGCTTCGTAGGAGCTTCGAAAGACCTTCTGGAATACCTCGTAGAGCTCTTGGTTCGACCAGAGCTGGAGGAATTCGGCGACGGGGCACAGCTACTTGGCCGATCCAGGCCGAAGAGATAAAGTGGTGACCTGGGTCGGTTTTTTCAGTGATCGCGTAAGAATTAACAATTTCTAAAAATCGAAATTGGCCGAACCTGCTTCAAGTTACGTTGTTTCTTCCTGTATAATTTTCAGGCCCGCAAGATCAGTAGTGCGAACTAAGGAACTGCTGGAGATATTTGTCGAAGCTCAAATTGTTTGTTGGTGGTTTCTAGTAGACAGGGTGAGTTATAGGTCATATCCATAAAAGTCCGCAGAAAGCAATTGAATACATCCAGCTGGAGGCGCAAGAAAGCGAGCGTCGGACTAGGACTCGATACAAATGATAAAAATTCATATCGTAACCAAAATTATTATGGCCCCATGCATGTGAATAGAAAACATGAACCACAGGCATACTAGAGTTCGACATGAGGTATGCCACAGGTGAGTGGCAAAAATCATAGAGCGTGTACCAGGTAGTCATCGTTACAAATATTTGGCAACATGCAAACCAGTAGACTGTACAACTGTTGTTTAATCAATTTGCAAAGCTGAGCGCGAGCCTTAAGCCATCGCCAGACCTGAAGTTTTCCTCGACCAAGCGACCGGATGGAATTAGTCGGGAAGCACGCGGGCAGGAGCCAGTGTTTCCCGAATATAAACATTCCGAGAAATGATGTATCATGTTATTTGTTGTTTGATGTCGAGTAGGTTAGCACACAATGGCGTGAACCACTAGCTATCGCCAGAACTCAAACTGATTCACCCTGAAGCAGTATCATAAATCAACTCAACTGCATGCTG